ACACACAAACACTAGACAAGGGCATTCTTGCTATTAACCTCAATCTGTAAGTGCCTCGCTACAGATTTGCTCAATCGTAAACACTTTAATTGTGTGTCCCTTCATTTTCCAGTCAAACACCATAGCACGTTAAAGGGATATGAGATGCATTTTTAAACTCTTATATTTATAAAGACATGCCGTTATAATTGAATAGCTTGATTTCTTTCGTAGAGCAAAAAAGGAAAGATGAAGAAACTGTTCTATAACTATATTAAAGGCATCATTGTATATCTTAATCATCGAATAAATAGTATAAAATGGCTCTGTATATATATATATATTTATATTTATTGATTTAGTCTAATCACTGGTGATTTATATTACCACAATCTAAAAATGTTATATATATATATATATATATATATATATATATATATATATAAAAAATAAATATAATAAAATTTGAAATAAATATAATAAAATAAAATTTAAAATAAATTAAATAAATATATAATTTAAAATAAATATAATAAAATAATTAACAATAGCCAAGTTTTCTTTTATTATTATTTAGGATGTTGATAAATACAAAGAACTTTTTTTTTTTGAATGATATGGTTATAAACAAAATTAAAGTGAATGGGGATCTCGGCTGCTGATCTCCTAAATAATAAAAGCACCATAAATGTTTCAGAAAAATAGTCTGTACAAACTGTACACTATTCCATGAATTCTTCTGAATTCATGATAGATTTCTGTGAAGAACAAATTAAAATGCTAATTATTTAATTTTAATTGATGCATTGGCAAAATTCAGGTCATTGACAAAGTAAAGGAATGTATTTTGAACTCCCATTTGAATATATTGTTTCTCCGTCGTCTGATATGTTGGACTAAGATGATATGTTGGACCCTTTTGAACTTTAATCGTGACACCGTTCAGTCGTTTACTTCAGACACGTGCCAATGAAGGCCACGTAAGTCCACTTTGAATGTGCCGTTTGGGACAGAGCCAAAGTGAGAGGCAGGTCTTCCAGGAGACAGGGATGGTTTTAATCTCTCCCTTTTACATATTCAAAGAGCTCTTTCAATATTGGCCCGCTTTTACCTGTGTATGTCCAGCCACTCGTTTTCCCTCTGATCCCAGCCTTAATTAGTCTGCTGGTCTCACCCGTCAATCATTCCGAGCCGTCCGTGGAGACAGTCATTGAAAAGCAAAGGCAGAGGCGGCCATGATAGGAGGGCAGAACCTGGCATCCTACTCTGCATTAATAAACAGTAAGTTTTAAAGGTGAAGTGTGTGATTTATATGCCACTAGCATAGGCAAACGGAATCCCTAAAATCAAACCAAGTAGGTCTACAACACCTGGAGAAATCTATACGTTAGCATTGGTTAGTATGTGCACTTTTAAGAGCCCTCCAAAAAAATCGGGCAAAACATCTACTAGAGTATAGTATAGGGGCTACACGATTGAGTATTTCATGAAAATAATTGTATTTAATAGTACACTGTAAAATTATAGTACTGATATTTATGTCTTAATGTCAAATGTTAAATCATCAAGCTTTTATTTGGTGGTATTCTGACAAAAAAAATACAGTACGTGCTGCTGATTTCAGAGGTATTATGTTCATTTACACGCGAGCAGCTCATGATACAGTGTTTCAGTGTCAGTGAAACTGACAGCGCATATATTTATTTAATTAAATCAGTCTTTGACTATCGCATTAAGCCATATTGCAAAATCGCTTTTTTATTCCAATATATTGTACAGGCCTACTATAGTAAATTGTTCTGCTTGCAAAAAGCAAGCAAATAAAATGACAATGTACAGTAGTATCATCCATCTACCAGTAGGGGCTAATTGAACCGTATTAACCAACCAAACCTTGACCTTTTGTTTCAGAAATCTTTCGCAAACAAACCCTGACCTGCCATTGGTTAGACAAACAGCTCTGACCAAACTAACTCCATTGGTTGGGCTGATGTTGCTTTGCTGTTTGTTTGAGGACTAAAACCAATCCAACAATGTTTTGATAGTGCTGCAGAGCGAGCTGAGTTTACACGTTTCAGGGAAATTAGCCTATGAATGGGTTACTTATAGGTGTCTCTACATATTAAGCTTGGATAGGAGAAAATATTTAACACATCACTTTTAAGACAGTTTAATGAGGGAATATTGTAAATGATGCATGAGTTAGCTGATCTTGACTTGAGAGTCAGGAAACGAGGTGCTACGGTATGAAGGGTCAAAGAACATTTGAATGCGAGAGGGGAAGTCTGCGAAGAAGTTTTAGAAAAGATATGGGGTTTATTATTAACTTGTCTGAGAAATTTGATGTACTACCGAACAGACCGGTAAGGGTAGTGCTGGTTCAGCACTTGTCTGCTTGTGTACTGAGCTGCCCGTCATGTTGTTTCTTAATGCAGAGAGAAGGAATGACGCACTGGTGCTGCTTATGCGAACCGCAATACACACTCCCACTCACAACATGAGCATCAAACGCAGGCCTCCTTCCCCCTCTGTTCATACTTCTGCTGCGTTACAAGTTAATTCACGGTTAGCTCAGGTTGAGAAACCTAGAGTAATTTTTTAGAAGAAATGTGTTTGGTTTGGCTCCGGATCAGAACAGAATCAAGAAATAAAGGAAAGGCCATCTGAGCCATGCCCTCAGTTGTAAATCCGAGGAATGAAGTGATACAGACACACACAAACACACTTCCTCCTACTCATTCTTGTTGAGACGGTGTTTTGAAGGGTGAGTGCTGGTCACATGATTAGCTCTCAGTGGAGCCACAGGCAGGCAGGATGTTTTGGAAATATGTGCTTGTTTGTGTGTGATCTGATGATGGATAAAACTAGATTTTCTGAAGAATGTGAGTGTTTAGAAAAGTTTAAACTTCTTCAAGGTATAGGTCACCCATAAATAAAACTTCTGTAACTTTGGTTGGTTCACAGCGATGTCATAGACGAACAATTTTGAGTTCCTAAAAAGAACCTTTCAGTTCTAACATTTTTTTGTGCACTTTTTCTACTATAAAGAACCTTTTGTGCAATGGAAAAGTTCCATGGAGGTTCTTCAGGAAAAAATTGATTCCAATAAAGAACCTTAATTTCTGTGGAACTCAAGACATTTTTAAAAATGTGTCATTGATTTCTCTTTTTTTCCATACAGTGAATGTCAATGGGATGCAATTCAGTGTCATTTTTTTTATAATTTTATAATTTTATCCTAAGAAGGTTTTTAAACTTTAATACTTGAGCCTGAGAATGAGTTAACAAAAGGTAAGCTTGCCTTACTAGTGACTGATGTTTGTGTGTGTTAACATGCAAATCAAGGAGTGTGTCATGAGGCACACTGCATTCTTTTGTGATCACATGGCTTGCTTAGTCAGAGCCGTGTGGCACACTCAGCACAAATATCAAGTCTGTACTAAGAGACTGGCATTATTGTTTCTTTTAATAATTTGATCTTGTGTATAGGGGCAGATGGGATCATCAGTACAGGTAATTATAATGAAACATGTCAGTTTGCCAAAACTTCTCCTTCCCGTCACATTCCCGTCTTAAGTCGTACAGTCCAGACAATTTACCCATGCGCTCTGAATCAGCAGCAAAGACCGCAGTTAACACCAGACGTAGTCACACACACATACACACAAGCACAATTTAACACACTCCCCCCTACAGTAACGTCTAATCTCATTGCAAGCCCTGTGCACGCCTGAGCTCTGACAGACACTGCCCTGCCTCATATTGTGTCTCTGGAGCCCTGTCATTAAAGCCAATAAGAGCTGTAATATCCGCTAAACTCTTAGCATGAATTCTTTATGAGCTCTGGGCGTAGGATCGTGGTGTCTGAGAGACTCCTTCTATTTGCAATTTTTGCTGTGAAAGTATGTGCTCTGGCAATCTAAACACGATGGTCAGTTTTATGTGGAAGTTCACTCAAGAGGATTGTCACCATGTTTAGGCAAATAAGAATGAGTTCCTGTGGAATTTTTGGCAGGATTTGTAATGGAATATGGGGAATATTTTATTTCCCCAACTACTTTTACAACCTGAAACTCATAAACAGCTCAAATTAGCTGAAGAATGTTCAGACAAGGAACAACTGTGATTACATCTTCCTGTCTAACACAATAACTTTGCATGCCATGCTGGTTATCATAAGGGTTGTTTACAGGAAGGATGACTGGATTGTTTGGCCCACCTGCTGAGGGTGTACCCATAATTCATTGAGCCTCCTTCTGTTATGCTGGAATCAGGCCGCCTTGTGATTCCTTTGATGAGCATTTGACTTCCGCCCCAGTGTTTTTTAGGACCTGATGAAGTGGTAAGGGGACGGATGAAAAGGAGAATGAAAGGAGATCAGGGGTGGAAGACGAGCCTCTTTAGAAATGCTTTGCTTATATCACCTTGTCAAATCACGCAGCCATCGGCAACCCTTCTGAGGGAAGAGTTGAGAGGCCAGATCGATTTTTCTTTGAACTTAGTCTTTGTTGGTTCAACGTCTGACTAGTGCTTACTTCACTATATTATAATGATGCATACCAATGCAATTCTCCAGCTTCCAAAAAGGTGTCAGTTTTCAAGTACGTTTTTTTTTTCATTAGTGCGGCCTGCTAAGGCAAGTATCTCTGTTTGGTCAGTGACAAATAAGAGTGTCCGAGAGTGTTCTTAGAAATGTAATCTTTGTATTCATGTAGTTTTAAAAAATGTTTTTCAACAAATGGAAAACAATTTCCACACACACACACATATATATATATATATATATATATATGCAGTACATACATGCATACATTTATTGTAATTCAGAAATAAAAATCAAGCTCATCATAGGAGAGGTGTATTCAGGTTATTGTAGGTATAAATTGGATGTATGTTTGAATAAATTAATAAATCCAGACACTCTAGTGGTTTGGTGACGACTTTTTCACACAGGCCATGTAACTTGGTCGCGGACCTATCATGTGATGTATATCTTGGTTTTTTTTGTCTCTCTCTTCAAGAGATGGCGTGGAGGGCCCTGGCAGTGCTGTCCCTGCTGCTGTGTTTTGGCTCATCTTGCTGTGATGATACTCAAGACCAGTTCTTGTCTGCAACAGTCATCAACAATGTCGTTCAGGACCCTCAAACCGGACGAATCTACCTTGGTGCCATAAATGGGATCTATCAGCTGAACTATAAACTACAGCAGGAGAGCAGTGCTGTAACAGGCCCTAAGAATGACAACCCACAGTGCACTCCACCGATCACTGCACAGTGCACTGATGCAAAGGAAACGAACAACATCAACAAACTCCTGCTGGTTAATTCCGCCAATGGCACCCTAGTTGTTTGCGGAAGCCTTTTCAGGGGCATCTGCTCTTTGGTAGACCTTCACAGCGTGGACAAACCGGTGTACTACAGTGACACCAAAGGCGAGAAGACATACGTGGCCAGCACCGAGGAGTCTGTTGCAGTGGTGGGGGTCATTTCTTATTATATAGATGGTAATTCTAATAAAAACCTCAGCGTATTTCTAGTAGGGAAGGGCTACGGTGGCTCGGATAGCTCAAAACTCATCAGCACTCGGTTGCTGCAGGAGCATTTGGAAATGGATGTTTTTGAGAACATGGTTGAAGCTTCCACTGTGCAAGCTAGCCCTTTTGTCCAGCGCTACCTCCACGACTTTCGCCATGCATTCAAGGATAACGGTTACATCTACTTCCTGTTCTCACGCACTTCGGGCACCAGTGACAGCAGGAAGATCACGTTTGTAGCACGCCTGTGCGAAAATGACCATCATTATTATTCTTATACCGAACTTCAGCTCAACTGCACCGCCAGTGTTGAACAACAGGAGAACACGTACAACAAGGTCCAAGCGGCATATCTGGCCAAACCTGGTGAAGTTTTGGCTAGGAATCTCAACGATAAGGTTCTATTTGTTGTGCTCAGTGCAGATGAAGATGGCGGTCGATCAGCCTTGTGCATGTACCCACTCAACAGCATTAACACTAGGCTTGAGGAGGTGATTGAATCCTGCTACATAGGAGAAGTTCTGGAGGACGAGAAACCAAAGACCGTTTATTCACCCTACATATCCAAGACAGAGGCCATCTGCAAGACCAAAAGAGATGTGAGTTTTTGTGTTTCTTCAACTCTGCTTCCGTGTTGTGTGGTTGTTTACAACCTTTTTGAATGTGCTGTGTATTTTCGCCCAACAGAAGAATATGGTGAAGGAATATAAATGTGGTGCAGAGTTCCTGCCATCTCCACTAGCCAGTAAACCTGAGTATGCTCTGTCTGTCAAACCCATCTACACCCGAAATGACATGCTGACAGCTGTAGCTGTAGCGGTGGAGAATGGGCACACGGTGGCATTCTTGGGAACCGGTGGAGCAGATGTCTTAAAGGTGAGTCCCATTCCAGCGTCTGGTTTCTATTCTCTTTGAATTTCACTTAAGCCCTTGAGGTTTGACTGCTGTGGTGGTCTGGCTTCGTGGTTCACGATATGGGCTGGTAACCAAAAGATTGTTGGTTTAAACCCAAGGATGGATGATTTATGAGCTACAACCAGTTGAGCAATGCACTTAACCCCAGGACTTGCTTTAGCTGTACTACCCCTGTAATATAGTTAACTTGAAAGTCGCTTTGGGTAAAAGCATTTTCAAAATGAATGAATTAATTCTTTAACTTTTCGCTTGCAGGTGCATCTTGATCCCAACCGCACTGACTTTTATCACAGGATTCAAGGGGAACGCGCAGATGGTGGGGTGAACAAAAACCTCTTTTTTGATTCAACTTCGGATCACTTGTACATCACCACTGGCAGAAAGGTTTGTTTATGAACAGATTCACAACGCTTAAATCACATTGAGTCAGCAGGGATTATCCACTGGTTAAAATAATAGTTTGAATAAGGTTGGTTTGCCAACCTTAAAGAAAGGATTTTTGAATGGAATGATAGAAAATACTGTATTAACTGTGAATTGTGAAACACCAATAGTTTCAGTTGGAATCCGCCCTATTGGGAGTTTCTCTTAAGGGTAAACAAGTTCCCCATGCAGATTTCACTTTTGTTCAAGTTGGTCATGCAAATTTGCCGCGTTGACCAACAGAAAGCTGCTTGGTTTGAAAGTGGCTTCTGTGTGAGCAGTGCTTCATGTTTTGGTACAATATTGACTTTTTTTGTCCATTGTGACCACAGCTTAACATTCTTAATGGAGAAGCAGAACCTTCAATCACAGATGCATCAGCTATTAGGCATCGTAAACTAACTAAATAAACAAATTTGCCTTTTAAATGTTGTCTTGCTTCTCTTTTGTGTAGATCACCAAAGTGCCAGTGCAGGCCTGTGAGCAGAAGAATGACTGTCACTCATGTGTGTCCCAACGGGACCCATATTGTGGCTGGTGTGTGCTGGAGGGCCGGTAAGTCTGTTAGATTCATTTCATTACCAAAAGCACAACATCATTTGGGCATTCTTGTCCAGTAAAAGATTGGACAAGTAATAACACTGCCACACTACAACATAGTTTGATATTTCTACTGCCAAATAAAAGATCAATTGCTCCTTAGGGTCATGTGACTTCCATCTATATTAAAGTATGGTTTCAAGCAGGAAACTGTTTAGAGATCTCTCTTTATATATATATATATATATATATATATATATATATATATATATATATATATATATATATATATATATATATATATATATATAAAATGTTAACCTCTAAAATATGGCGTAATCCAAGTCTTGGAGTTGTCTGTTAAATTTTAGCTAGTGCTATTGCATACCTGTGTTCAGCCCAGTTAAAGCAAATGCAGTGTAGCTCATTACCCAATGTCTGCTTTTCTCTTGCAGTTGTACAAGGAAGAAGGATTGTCGCAAGGGAGATGGAGAGAATGCCTGGTTGTGGAGTCCAAAACAAACATGTGTAGCCATTCAGTCCTTTGAGCCCCCCAACATCAGCTGCAAGAAAACGCATAGGACCCCGGTAAGAAAGCATAACACGTATACGCTGTGATGCAGTCTGCCGTTATTTTAAACCCTAACCTCTTAAGGATTGACTCAGGATTGATATTTACTGGCTGTGACAGATCCAGTCTGTGAATCTAATCCTTTTTTCATGAGCTGATGTGATCAAGTTAGTAAACAATGCACCTGAAACTATTCATACCACATGAACGCACAGAGCACTCTTCGTGCATTTCTAATATGTCTTAGAAGAAACTCAAATGGTCATGGTTGATCGAAGAGGCTTCCTGTATTCCATAATTAACTTCCTGGATCAGTTGTAATGAATAATGACAGTATATTCCTGATTTGCTGAAATCAATATTATTTCAACTTTCTTTTTCACATTGCATATTGTTGGATTCCCACAGTCATGCAAAACCTTGAAATGACAGAGAATTTTAAAATTGTGATTTTCAGAACAGGAAAAGTTATCAAAAAGTTATGAAAATCAATAATACCGTATTAAGTGATTGAAAAAAATCATTATAAATGTATAATGTTTATAATAATATCACTTTTATGTTATTTATTGTTATTATTAATAAATGATATGTTTTATTAATTATACTTAAATAATTATTATTACCTTTTTTATTTTATTTATTTATATTTAGCCCTAAATATTGAATATTTAAAAACTGTCATTCAACAACCATAAACAACTATAGAAAACACACAAATTCAGATATTTCACATATTTATATATATATTGATTATATATTACTCTTAAATCCATGTTTTCTGGTTGAAACTTGCAGGTGGAGATTAACATCCCCTCCCTCCCCAGTATCAACAGTCCTGACAGACTTATGTGTGAGTTTGGTGACTACAGAAGTGCCGCTACTATGAAAGGCACACGGGTCATTTGTGATCTCCCGACCTCTGAGTTAATCCCGCCCACACCTGAGACACTAGGTGAGAACTTCCTGTTTGCCTTTAACTTTAATAATCACCTATTGTGAAGCCGTCCTCTTACTGCCTCCTTTACTCCCTGAACAAACAGATGGTGTTTGTCGAGCAGAATGCCTAAAAATTGCCGCCAGGCACGAATAGTTTTTCATTTCTTCATGTTTGTAATTTGCTAGTTTTGTGATTTTTAATTTGGAGACTGATCAGATGAAAAAATCACACTGAAGCTTAATCTATTACTTGTTGATTCTAGAGTTAAATAAGCTTGTATCAAGGCATGCTTTTCTTGGGAATCGAACTCATGACCTTGGCGTTGCTATTACCTGTTGAGCTCTAAAAGTTCAGAATTGGTCTTATGAATTACTCATACCTAATAGCCCATTTGATTCCCATTTCCCATATGCATGTGTGTAGATTTTGTGTCAGTGCCAGTGAAAATCACAGTGAATGATGGCATTGAAGTGGCATCCGGTGCATTTGAGTTCTACAACTGTGCAGCCGTGGTGAAAAGATCAGACAATACTCCGTGAGTATCAGGCAGCTTTAAAAAAATGTATATTCCATTCAGGATTTCTTTCTGATTGGTCGGTTGTGTGTTCTGCAGGTGCATCGCATGTGTGACCAGTAAGTGGGGCTGCCAGTGGAACATTCGTGATCACACATGCAGTGATAGTGTTGAGTCTGTCGAGGAAAATCTTATCATCAAACACACTGAGGTGAGTCATGTTAGGATGATAGTTAATGAATGCATGCGTGTTAATTTAATATGCCTGTTTGTGCATTAATATATGGTGAGCGATCATCTTCTGGTGACAAAACATGACTAATAATAGTTTTATTTGATTTTCTTCCTTTGGTTTATTTTTGCAGGATGACAGGTGTCCTCAGTTTGAGATCCCTGAACCTCTGCTTATTCCTGTTGGCATCAAAACTCCCATCCAATTTCAGGGCAAAAATCTAGAAAAATATTCGGTAAAGTACATGCATTGCTACAGTAGATGTTCTTGAAGAAAATAAGTTTTACAAATAAGTTTTTTGTTTTGCGATAATTACCTGGTGGCTGTGCATTATCCCACTGTTTAAACGGATGCTTTCTAAATACCGTTAATAAATGAAAATAATATATTGATTTAAGTTTCATTAATTAATTAAATTCAGATATTTTGATATGAAATAATTTTACTTAATTCTTATTATTTTGATATATTGTTCAAAAGTTTGGGGTCGGTTTCTTTTGCTCTCCATGGCTCCTTACATTTTTTTTTTGTAATTTTATTGTAAAATATTATTACAGGGATTTTTTTTTTTTTTTTTATAAATTTTTTTTTTATAATTTTTTTTCCTGTGTTGGCAAAGCTGATGTTATTAATGTTGAAAACAATTGTGCTACTTATTATTTTTGGAAACCATGATACATTTTTGTCAGCATTCTTTGCTGAATAGAAGGTTATTAGAAATAGATCTCTCACTTTTTTTTATTTCTTGCTGAATAAAAGTATTAATTTCTTTTAACAAATCATACTGAGCCCAAACTTTTAAACAATAATGCATATACATAAATATTAAGTGATATAAGAGATATGAATCTATGCCCAACTATGTAGCTTTCTAGTGACTAGTGATGCGCTGATGAGCTCTAACGTCATCAATCCGCGGATAAAAAAATAAATCATCAGCCCAAGAAAAGGCTTGGGCTTCATAGGCATTATTAGTTTATTGTCATATACATACAATACTTCACAGCCGTTACATATCACATACCCAGCACTTGATTCGTCCCGGATAACTACTTCACTTAAAAGTTAACGCTCCCACACTTTTTAATTCTCCTTTTTGAAATTTCTCTCAGATCTGATTTGCCTCCATTACTGCTTAAACAAGTGGACCCCGCAAGTACGTAGCTTAATGAAGTCTGAAAATTAGTGCCTGATGAAGAATTAGGCTTTAAACACATTAATATATCCATCATTAATGATTTATCTCTTTCACCGGCGACCCACCCGCAAATAATCAGAATGTTATTTTTTAGTACTTGGCCCGCCCGACCCTCATATTATCCACAGTGTCCGCGGATATAGTCGCGTTCCTCGAATAACTACCAAGGACAAAAGTAAAAAAATATAGTTTAGACTATTTTTTTTTATCACACATGATACTAGATTTTTTTATATAGTAAAATGCCTTCTTAAAGAGTCTGCATAAACAGCATTACATTTTCTCCATCTCTCTCAGGTCAAAACCTTTCAGATTGGCACTGAGCTCATGAAACAGGTGGGCGAGGTGACTGTGGTGTCTGAGGGGTCAACGTACAAATTTGAGGGATATGAGGTCAGTACTCTCCACTCGTATTCCTCCTCCTATTATATCTCCCTCACTTCCTCCCTTCTCCTCTGTTCACACATTGATTTGTTTCTGAAGTTTGAGCACCAGCCAATATGGCATTTACAGCTATTGAGCTGCATGTGTGTGTAAGACTCAGTCCTATGTGGGCGTAGCAAACACATGGTGATCAGGTTCTCAAACACATCAGGGGAGAATTTGCTGCGGCACACAGTTGTTCCAGATACGGTGATATGTTTGTCTGTATCTGTTTGCATGTTTAATGACACCATTCTGCTGTTTTTATGCCAGTTTGCGTATGACAAAGAGCCAGAGGTGAATGTGACGTTCTACATAAAGGATAAAGACACAGAGAGGATGATTGACAGCACCCTCAGAGGTATATTTAAATGAATTTGGTTCATATAATAGTTGTTAGAGGCAGGAAAACTCCTCTGAAACGGCATTCATCCAGTAAACATGGATCTTCAATATCTGGAAAGGTTGTATAAACACATCTGATGAATGACTTAAAATAAGCAGATTTACATAAGTTATCATTTACAGCTTGGAAACTGATCTCATGTATCTTGTTTTTATATTATCTAGGGATGGTTTAGACAATTTTAGCAGATGAGCACTTTGAAAATGCCATCTTTCAGATTAAAATAAATGTGCTTCGAAAAGTTTTTAATTTATGGGTGAACTAATTTAAAGTGCCCTTGTTGTGCTATTTTAAAGTTTCCTAATTTTGTCTTTTGCAATAAGTTTACATGCATCCAAGATCAAAAAACTGTTATTTTCTCATAATATATATTGCATCATCGCCTCTTTTCTCACTGTGCCTGAAATGGTTCAATAAAGGATCTGGTCTCTCTAAACGCCTCCTTTCCGAGAGCCTACTCTGCTCTGATTGGTCAGATGGCCCAGTCTGTTGTGATTGGTCCACCGCTTACAGCACATGTTGGTAATGAAACTGCCTTTACCGTATCTGAATTTTAGCTCCATAGGTTTCCGGAGACTTGTATACACACACAGTGATACAAACAGTAACGATGGCATCAGTTTTACCATTTCAATTCGATCCCGAGTCCTCATCCTTTGGAAGTGCATGGAAAGTGGTTTTGATTTCGCAGTGCAAACTCTTCCAGGCCTTAGCTACAACTACAGTGTTTGAGGGCTGGTCAAAGTAGGCGTTTGCTCAACGGCAGCCAATAAAGACCGCAGCGGGCATTATTCGGATTTGTGGTAACACTTTACAATACGGGTGCACTAATATGCATTAATTCATGTTTAACTAATGCACAGATAATCATGAGTTAATGTATGATTCATGAAGAACTAAACCATTAATTAATGATTACTGCATCAGCAACTAATAAAGAGTCTATATGATTAATAGATTAAGTAATACATGAATTGCTATTAATTCAATGTGTCATTGTGTATTAATTCCTTAATAACATATTTTATTAACTAATGGTGTAAATTAATGTGTTAATTACCACAATTAGTCAAAGCTATGCACTTCAACTTCCAGTTGTCTGCTTTAATTAATCATTAGCTAATGATTTGCAAAGGTATCATTATGTTATGACTTTACTTGTTGAGGCACATCGTTATTAACTAGTAATTTAGTAATTGTAGTAATTTACACATGAATTTGCACTAACAATGAAGTAATTAATCATGTATTAATGCATATTAGTGTACCTGTATTATCTGGAAGTTGAAATGCAAGGCTTTGGCTCATTCTGGTAATTAACATATTAATTAACACTATTAGTTAAAAAAATGAGTTATTAGGGAATTAATTCACAATTACATATTTAATTAATAACAATTCATGTATGAACTAATACATTAACCATACAGACTCTTAATTAGTTCCTAATGTGGTAATCATTAATGAATAGCTTAGATAATCATTAGTTACACATTAATTCAGTATTATCTGTGCATTAGTTAAGCATGAATTAATGCTTATTAGTGCACCCGTATTGTAAAGTGTTACCGGATTTGTTACAAACCTACGTAGGTTCGTGCAGGAAGTAAGACTGGGATTACTGAATACTCATTTCAGGCAGTTCATAATTATTATTATTTAAATTTTTTTGGGCGACAAGAACATTTATTGTGCGCTTTGGTCTTTGAAACTTTTGCAGCCCTTTTACATTCACAAACAGCTATATAACACACTACAGTACATGAAAGTTAATATCCGAAAAAGCATAATAGGTGCACTTTAAAGTACAAGTAGTTTGTAGCTAGCACATGTACGTCATCCAGGTCGAATTGATGTGCATTTTTTAACTGAAAGATGTCATTTTCAGTCCTCATCTGCTAAACATGTCTACACATGAACTAGCTTATCCCTTTAAGCTACAGTCAAATTACACTTTATGAAAATGTAGTGAGCTATGCTACAATGTATTAATCAAATCTAGCTAACTACAGTATATCGAAGCCAATATTTTTAAATAAATATGTCTGTCAGCCGCTCAGCCTACATATCCTGAGCATTGTTTATCAGCCACAAAAACGGTGAGAACCTCAATTGGACAATTTGGTGACAGCATCAAACTTGAATACATATATTTGTGCTAAATGTGACTAATAAATCACCACATACAACAATAAACAGCCTAATTTGCATAACTCATAATTTCTGAAAGCACACTGATAAACAGCAGTGTTTAATGTAATGTTTATTCCTCTACAAAATAAAAAGACTAAGGAACTATTTTGAGCCTTATTTTGTTGAAGATGATGAATTCAGTGTCAGTGTTGTTTTGTTTCCTCTTTTTTTCTTTCCAGTGGTGCTCTACAATTGTTCAGTAAGACGGGAGGACTGCAGTCTGTGTAAGAACGCTGACCCGAAGTATAACTGCGTGTGGTGCGACACCCCAAAATCCTGCATCTACAGAAGCCTGTGTAACACGGAGATGCAGCAGTGTCCACCTCCAAAGATCACTGATGTGAGGACCGGTCTTCTTGTTTTTCTCCCTATTTTAAACTTTGCTTACGCTAGGAATGCATACACTTCGTTAAAATTCATTGTCACACTTCAAACTAAACTCAAAATGCATCAGAGAATATCTCATTGGCGTGACGTCAGCGATTACAAATCGCCATTCCCGGTTCAAATGCAGTTCATAAATTTCCACTCTTCATCTTCTCTCTCATCTTTTCTAGAAAACACCATTCCTTTTCATCGTCTTCTCAATTTTTCATGCCTAAATGATATATAGATGGCTTCTCTGGTAGTCACAATCTCAGACTCTCACTTTAGTGTTTGTTGAATTCATCTGAGACTCTAATGATCGCGCCGCCTGTGCCTGATGGTGTTTTATTATTTGTCATCTGGCAAACGATTTTCTCCGAAGCAGCTGTATCACTCAAGGGCTCAGTGGTTATGGGTAATCTTTGTGACTAGTTTACGGTTTTGAGTGTTATAGGTCTCTTTTTACTTTGTTGTTCTACTTTCATTCCAGATTGTTCCCCGGTATGGGCCGATAAATGGACAGATCTCTGTTACAATAAAAGGGTCTAACTTGGGCATCAAGCAGGAGGACATTAAGAGAATCACTGTGGCTGGAGTGCCATGTACACATCAGCCGGAGAGATACTCAGTCTCTACCAGGTACTGCATGAACACCATATTAGATAAATATGCATTGATTATATAGAGCATTTAAAATGCATCCATCTTGTATATGTAAGTTAGAAATAGCTGTTTTGCTTATAGTTCTGTTCTACCCTTGTGTTTCAGTGTCGTATGTGAGATCGGGCCTTTCCACTCACAACCCCCTGTAGACCTGCCGAATGCACCCAGCCTGGTCGGGCCAGTGGAAGTGGAAGTGGAAGGGGGGAGAGTAGGACAGTCGAAAGTGTCATTCACTTACAGGGTAACTGCTTTCTCTGTTATGAAGCCTTTTTGGCCTCATAAGATTGTTTCTAATTTCTAAGATTGTAATCTTAATTCAAATTTATTGCACCCCTGAAATAACCAGTTTAGACTAACAGGAATCCCCTTGCTGATCCCGTGAAGCAGCATTGTCGTGCTATTAACCAGCAAAATGGAGCTTGTGAAGATGGTTGACCAAAGAAATCTTGCAGCTTAAAGTTGCTTAAATTTCACGGTCAAAATAGAGCAGAATATTCAGTTTCGCTCAGGAAATAAGTCACAAAGTAAAATGGGTTTAGATTTTTTTGATTCTTAAGATTTTATAATGTTTTTGAAAGACGTCTGTTACAGTATGTTTACCAAAGTTGCATTTGTTTAATCAAAAATATAGTAAATAATATTGTAAAATAGTATTGCAATTTAAAGTAAATGTTTCCTATTTTGAGATATATATATATATATATATATATATATATATATATATATATATAAATACAGGTCCTTCTCAAGAAATTAGCATATTGTGATAAAGTTCATTATTTTCCATAATGTAATGATAAAAATTAAACTTTCATATATTTTAGATTCATTGCACACCAACTGAAATATTTCAGGTCTTTTATTGTTTTAATACTGATGATTTTGGCATACAGCTCATGAAAACCCAAAATTCCTGTCTCAAAAAATTAGCATATCATGAAAAGGGTCTCTAAACAAGCTATTAACCTAATCATCTGAATAAACTAATTAACTCTAAACACCTGCAAAAGATTCCTGAGGCTTTTAAAAACTCCCAGCCTGTTTCATTACTCAAAACCGCAAATCATGATTAAGACTGCCGATCTGACTGCTGTCCAGAAGGCCATCATTGACACCCTCAAGCAAGAGGGTAAGACAGAAAGAAATTTCTGAACAAATAGGCTGTTCCCAGAGTGCTGTATCAAGGCACCTCAGTGGGAAGTCTGTGGGAAGGAAAAAGTGTGGCAAAAAACGCTGCACATCGAGAAGAGGTGACCGGACCCTGAGGAAGATTGTGGAGAAGGACCGATTCCAGACCTTGGGGGACCCGCGGAAGCAGTGGACTGAGTCTGGAGTAGAAACATCCAGAGCCACCGTGCACAGGCGTGTGCAGGAAATGGGCTACAGGTGCTGCATTCCCCAGGTCAAGCCACTTTTGAACCAGAAACAGCGGCAGAAGCGCCTGACCTGGGCTACAGAGAAGCAGCACTGGACTGTTGCTCAGTTTTGCATGTCATTCGGAAATCAAGGTGCCAGAGTCTGGAGGAAGACTGGGGAGAAGGAAATGCCAAAATGCCTGAAGTCCAGTGTCAAGTACCCACAGTCAGTGATGGTCTGGGGTGCCATGTCAGCTGCTGGTGTTGGTGCACTGTGTTTTATCAAGGGCAGGGTCAATGCAGCTAGCTATCAGGAGATTTTGGAGCACTTCATGCTTCCATCTGCTGAAAAGCTTTATGGAGATGAAGATTTCATTTTTCAGCACGACCTGGCACCTGCTCACAGTGCCAAAACCACTGGTAAATGGTTTACTGACCATGGTATTACTGTGCTCAATTGGCCTGCCAACTCTCCTGACCTGAACCCCATAGACAATCTGTGGGATATTGTGAAGAGAAAGTTGAGAGACGCAAGACCCAACACTCTGGATGAGCTTAAGGCCGCTATCGAAGCATCCTGGGCCTCCATAACACCTCAGCAGTGCCACAGGCTGATTGCCTCCATGCCACGCTGCATTGAAGCAGTCATTTCTGCAAAAGGATTCCCGACCAAGTATTGACTATTGAGTGCATAACTGAACATAATTATTTGAAGGTTGACTTTTTTTTTTGTATTAAAAACACTTCTTTTATTGGTCGGATGAAATATGCTAATTTTTTAGACAGGAATTTTGGGTTTTCATGAGCTGTATGCCAAAATCATCAGTATTAAAACAATAAAAGACCTGAAATATTTCAGTTGGTGTGCAATGAATCTAAAATATATGAAAGTTTAATTTTTATCATTACATTATGGAAAATAATGAACTTTATCACAATATGCTAATTTTTTTAGAAGGACCTGTATATTAAAATGTAATTTATTTGCGTCATGGCAAAGCTGTCTTCAGTGTCACGTGATGCTTCAGAAATCTTTCTAATATGTTGATTTGGAACTTTTTTTAATCATTATTATTGATGTTGAAAACAGTTGTGCTGGTACAGTCCCAACCCCCCAATTCTATGATAAATAGAATGTTTAAAATGAACAAAATTATTTAACATACATTTTTTGTAACATTATAAATGTATTTACTGTAACTTTTGATCAGTTCAGTGCATCCTTGATGAATAAATGTATTAATTTCAAAAATCTTACTGGTCCCAAAAGGTAGTGTATGTATAGGTATAGGTTTTCAGAGTTTCAATTGAAGTTATGTTTTCTCCTAAACAATGACTGTGCATACATAGCCTTATTAATATTTAATAAAGCTAGTCTTATGTAGAAAAATTAGCTCTCAGGGAGCTGTAAGTGAGCAAATGTTAACAGAAAGAGTTTTCTTCCCTTCTTCAAGGATCCTGTCCCCTTGGCTGTGTCCCCCTCTAAAGGCCCGGCTGCTGGAGGAACCATCATCACTATCACAGGACAGCACCTAGACACGGCTAGTAAAGATGACATCAGCATCACAGTGGACAGAGAGCCTTGTGAAGTGTGAGTAACAAGCAAGCAGTATATTTCTGGAATATTTGGATCTTTGTCCAATGCTGATTGTGCCTCTGTTTTCAAACAGGTTGACATTTGGCCAGGAGATCACCTGCAAAACAGGCCCATATAAAGGACAGAAGATTCCTTCAGATAAGTTGCTTGTTATTGTGAAGTACGGCAAGGACACTTCCAAAGAAGTCAGCGGTTTCGAATACTCAACAAATCCCAAAGTTACAGAGTACTCCCCACAGGCCAGCTTTGTTTGGTAAGTCCGTTCTTAATCTTTGCTTACTGTCGCTCGCTATTAGGCATTTCTAACGTTGAATGTCATAGCTTTGAAAATCTGATCACAAAGATGTCAACAGGGGTGGGTTCAGAGGTGAGAATAAATGGCTGTGTATATAAGTGCTACATGTCTGTATGTTTTTTTTTTGTGTGTGTGTTTTCAGCGGAGGCCGTAAGATCTTAGTTACGGGATCTGGATTTGATCAGGTGCAAAGAGCCACCATGCGAGTGCTGCCCTCTTCTGACGAGTTAAATCTCAACTCTGCCGACATGGAGGTGCGTCTCATGTTTGTCATGATGCTTTTGCACCAATCTGTGGTCAAGTTAGTCGTCTCTTACAATAAGCAAGGTTGGAATTCATAGTGAAGCGAATTCCGCAACAGAATAGTTTTCCTAAAAATTCAAAGTTCAGATGTCACCGTTTACTTTTATGTCATTCCAAACCTGTTGGATGCAGCGTTGTTATCGTTAACTAAAACCAAAACGATTAAAAATAGCTTTCGTTAATTGAAAAGAGTCGGAAATAAATAAAATGAATAAGTATTAGATGAAAAAAATAAGAAGTGTTTCCTTGGCTACTAACTGAAATAAAATTAGTTTAAATACTAAAATAATAACTCAAATTAAAACAATAAATTTAAGAAAAATAGAAATATAAAAAAATTATAGGTCAAATAAATCAAAATAAAAGCTAAATAAAAAATAGTATATAAAATAAACGTATAATAAAAGTGGTCTAAACAACTTTAATTTAAGTTATTGTTTATTGAAAGTATTTTTATTTTCATCTCTTTAATATTACGATGACTGAATAAGTTGCTTGTGCTTTAATTTTAAATCTTCTGGTTTCCTATTTTTGTTCTGTCAGATGTTATTGATTGCCTCTTAAGAAATGTCAGCATTTCATTTTCGTGCAATTTCCTTTTGATCAAATGTCTGGCTGTCATAACCCATTGCTTGGTTCCAAGCTGAAGAGTTCCCTTTCCTCTCTCACTCTCCTCTGCATCTTCCTAATATTTCCTTCCCTTTGTCTCCCTTCTCTTAATGTTAATAAGCAACATTCATCATGCAGCTGACACCATGCTGTCTCATTTCTTTTTTAGTGCTAAACTGACTTGTTTTCTTTCCTGCAGATCGTTCAAGAAGTTAGCTTTAAGAACGAATCCGTACTGGAGTTCCTCTCTCCGGTTGTAAACGAGACATATGTGAACCTTTCCTTAAGAACCATCATCCAGCTGGACAACTTGGTGGAGAACTTGACTAATTTTGTTTACCATCCAAACCCCTTGTTCGATCTTTTGACCGAAAAAGCCATCACGGAAAGCAGCATCATCAATGTTAATGCAAGTATTTTTGCTAACAGCAGATTTTACAGTAAAGGGGGGTTTGTTCCAGTTACTGCTGATTGTGCTTTAAAAAAAAATCACTGCTTCATTGCTTTTCTGTGTTACAGGGTCGAGGTTTTTCCAAAGCCATGACTGCCAGAGAGGCCCAGGCGTTTGTGGGCGATGAGCCGTGCGTGGTGACAATCTTAGAGGACGATAAGTTGTTCCTCGTGGCCCCCTCCAGCCCTCCTAAATCCACCTCCAGACGCCATCGCAGAGACACCAGCTCAGAGGCCATGGAGCTGCTGGTTAGAGACTGTTCTCCTCAAGTTTTAATCACAGTTGTTCTGACCAATTTTACCCTGCGTTCAAAGTTTCTCGTCTTTTTCAGATCAAATTCGGAAAAGGCGAGTGGAAAGTCGGATCTGTACGCTTTGAGAGGAAATACGAGGTTCCTCTTTACATCATCATTCCTGCTGTTCTCATTCCCATGGTCCTCTTCATTGCAGCGTCGGTCTATTGCTACAGGTAACAAACCTCAGAGTGCACCAGACTGTAATAATGTGAACTTAATAACTTCGATTTCAAAGCTGTGGTCTAGTGAGTTGCTCACACGCTCAGACATACGTTTTTTCTCTATATATGGTCTCATTCCCTCCATTTTTTTCTCTATCATTTCCTTTCATTTCTGTCTAATATAACAAATAAAGAAGTCAACAAATAATAAATAATTAAATTTAAAATATCATCATAACAAATTAAAATTCACTTTGATTTTTAACAGCAAATAAACATATCTGGATTTCCCATCCTCATGCTCAAGTGTCATTAAAAAATAAAAAGGTATTGTATTTAAATTGATTAATAAGTAAATTAAATTAAGTAGATACAAAAAAAATCAAACCATAAATTAAAATTCACTTTGAACAGCAAATATAAAGTATTAGAATTTCCGGCTCTCTCTCGTTCTCTCTCTACTTTTAATAAAAAATTAAGTCATATGCATAAGTCATAATAATAAGCAGTAAATAAGATTAAAAATAATTTTTGTGTTTGCATGTGTGCAGGAGGAAAAGCCAGCAGGCAGAACGAGAGTATGAGAAGATCAAAAATCAGCTGGCGAATTTAGAAGAGAGTGTCCGAGATCGCTGTAAAAAAGAGTTCACAGGTAAGATCTCAAGCCATTCATACCGACAGACTTGTTCCTGCTTCTCAAATAGTTTATCATCTTATAATCAAATTGAATGAGTCTTTTTGTCTTGGGTTGAACAAACTACTTTGTTTGTTTGTTTTTTGCTTGTCACTTGCAGTCACTTTGCAGAAAAAAGATGGGTTTTTGTTATTCTGAAAGCATCAACTCTCTGTTTCTCTTAGATCTTATGATAGAGATGGAGGACCACACTAGTGATCTGAGTGAAGCTCGAATCCCATTCCTGGACTACAAGAACTACACCAACCGCGTTTTCTTCCTGCCCTCCAAAGATGGAGCCAACGATGTCATGATCACTGGCAAGCTGGATATCCCAGAATCCCGCAGACCCATTGTAGACCAGGCGCTCAACCAGTTCTCCAATCTCCTGAACAGCAAAACCTTCCTCATCAACGTGAGAGCTTAACTTCATTTCCAGACTAAACCCTGATGACATTGAAATGTGTTTTCTGCTCTGCTGACATGTCTGTGTACTCCTGGATTCGATGTATTAGCTGACTTATGTACTGTATGTGTGTGTTGTAGTTCATTCGTACCCTGGAGGGCCGGCAGGAGTTCAATGCCAGGAATAAGGTTTACTTTGCCTCGCTGTTGACGGTGGCGCTGCATGGCAAGCTGGAGTACTACACGGACATCATGAGAACCCTCTTGCTGGAGCTCATGGAGGAATATGTCCACAGCAAGAACCCCAAACTCATGCTCCGCAGGTCAGAACCAACCCCAAATCAAATTCATGTGTCCATAATTATCACTATATATATATTGTTGCACAATTTTTCTGCAATTGATTGAACTCAATAATGAATGACTTTAGACTAGTATATCATAGACTTGGGCCTTTTAATTTGTACGAGTAAACAATCTTAGTAGGGAGTCCCTGATTCAATTTGATTCCAATTCACAAGCTCGTCATTCAGTTTGATTCAGATTTATTTAGGTATATTTCAGTTCTGTTGTTCATTTTGCTTATATATTCTTCCATATAATGCTGTAAATTATACAGGGCGTGTCTTTTTGAACCATTCATTAAATGAAACGGGTCATTTGTTTGTGAATCGTTCTACACTGGTTTCGTTGTACTTTGTTTTTGTACTTAGCTTCTATTGTTTATTGTATACACTGAAAAGAGAAACTGAGAAAAGTACGTTCTTGTGATTTTTAACCATCAATATCAGGATTGTTCAAATGAAGATCATAATTTATCCGAATGCAAGATAACGAAGCTTTTTTTTTTCTTTCGTAAATTGACTGTACTGGCATGATATCGTCGGTCTGTGTTTCCTGTTTAGATCTGAGACTGTTGTGGAGAGGATGTTGTGTAACTGGATGTCCATATGTCTCTACCAGTTCCTGAAGGTGAACAATTTTGCTACAAATAGAAATTGCAGCAATTGTTTTCTGGTTTTGGTGGCTGACTAATGTGTTCTTGCAGGACTCAGCCGGTGAGCCGCTCTACAAGCTCTTTAAGGCCATTAAACACCAGGTGGAAAAAGGTCCAGTTGATGCCAAGATGAAGAAAGCCAAGTACACTCTAAACGACACAGGACTTCTGGGGGATGATGTGGAGTACAGTATTTTGGTGAGTACTTGTAGTATTTTCTCATTTCCAGTAGGACAGTGTAATTTCTGATGATGGAATTACCTGGAAAACAAATTTTAGCAACCAGAACCACACTTGTTTCTGAAGTGTGTGGCATGTCTGTTTACTCCTAATATGTCTACAAAGGTGGTTTCCTAGCAGAAACGGTCAGTAAGGGACCCGTTCAACGGAAAGCTTGTTAATACAGAATGGTAAGAGAGACTCAGGATAACGGAGACCGTGTTAGTGTGTCCATCATTGTTCTCCTAACACCATTTCATTGGCCAGCAGTGAGTGTGTAATCTCATTCTCGACTGTAAAACTGCTCCTCAGGGACTGAACAGCCATTATCCGCTGGAGGAAACTGTTTTGGCTGAGAACGATTCATGCGATCTTGGAAAACAAGCAAAAACGATACTCTTATTTTGTTAGCGGATTACAACCAAGATTTTAGCCTAAGTAATTGACTAGTGATTCTTATCTGTTTGTTTATTTGATGACCTTTGTACACTTGATGGAACCAGTATACTAAAGCCTATTTGAACTTTTTAGACCCTGCAGGTGCTGGTTCACGGTGAGGGTCCCGACGTGACCCCTGTCAAAGTCCTGAACTGTGACAGCATCTCCCAGGTGAAGGAGAAGATCATCGAGCAGGTGTACAGGAATCTGCCCTACTCCCAGAGACCCACGGTGGACAGCGTCGCACTCGGTTAGACCTCGCATACATTTGAATTTATTTCCTTACCACCCTGCACTTATGATTCATTACAGCAGGGATATTTCCAAAGGCCTCTAAACTTTATGAAAGTAACACGCATAAATGGCTCTCTTTATTAACAACGTGCTGCATTTAAAGGAATTGGAGGAAGACACGCTTAATCCCGGCTCTGAACAGATAGCGGTTTGATTAATGGTGGGATTTTGTGCATGTCGGTCTGCGCTCCTGCAGTTCTTAATGAGTTGTTCTTCCAAATGTGCTGAATTGTTAAAGCCGATGTCTCGCATCATCCATCAGACAGACGAATCTGGTTAAAAAGAAGTAGTGTAGGGAAAAACCAGCCAGGGATTTTCTTTTTCTCAGGTTGTCAAGTGTAATTCGTTTGTTGGGTTTTTTTTCCCCCCCCTCATACCGTGTTGTAAGACATTACTTCCTCTTCTTGCCACAGAGTGGCGCCCTGGCTCTACAGGGCAGATCCTGTCTGATCTGGACTTGACATCACAGAAAGAGGGAAGGTGGAAACGAATCAACACACTGGCCCATTACAATGTGAGTATTTGCATAAGTGCTTCCTGTCAGAAACTGAAAAATGATGGCTCTCTTATGTTTCTCACTGATTAATGTTGTCTTGAAGAGCACGTCACTGTGCTATAATTGTCAGTCTATTAAAATTATTTGATTTGTGATTTAACTCAGTTTTTTTGTAGTTAATGCATTTTATTAATGCTATTATTTATTATTTTATTTTATTACAGGCCTTTTATTTAATTGTTTTATTTTGTATTAAATAGTGATATTCTGTATTATTTTATTAAACATTATACAAAACCACTATATATTTACAATACTATTAAAAAATATAATATTTTATTATACAATATTTTATTATTTTCCACATATAAATATTCATACTAATTATTTTACTATTATTATCATATTATTACTAATTTTTTTAATAAGAAGTTCTATCTGCTTGTCAATCTTTTTGTGATGTCTTATTTATTAAAGGTATAAAAAAATGACCTACATATTTAAGTAATCAGATGTAAAATAAGTTAATTTTGAAAATATGCTTCCATATTATTTCTTGTTAAAATAAAATTATATTTTGTTCTCTCTGTGTGTGTGTGTGTGTGTGTGTGTGTTTGTGTTAGGTGAGGGATTGTGCCACCCTTGTCTTGTCTAGAGTTCTGCACACCCAGCAGTCTTTCGACCAGAATCAAGACAACCACGAAGAAAGTTAGTGACTTTGAAGTGTATTGAAGTCTTAAACTACTACCACCAATTGTGTTTTAATGACACCAGTGCATTGCTTCTTATTGATCCCCTTAAAAGTCTAAAACATATTGACAGTCCTTATTGATGGAAAAAGACTGAATGAATGAAATCTGCTGGTGCACTAAATGAACAGTAAAGTAGAACTGAATCCAAGCTAATGGACCGAATAAGTGCTTAAAATAACTGTTCTCCACACAGGAAGAGCAATCAGTCCTTCAATTGTGCTTGTTTTATGTTGAACAGGAAATGCTTTGCTGGAGGACGATAAAGTATTTCACCTGGTGAGACCAGCGGATGAGCTTGACGAAGTGAAATCAAAGAGAGGGAGTATGAAAGACAAGGCCACGACGAAAGCCATCACTGAGATTTACCTGACCAGACTGCTCTCTATGAAGGTGGATTAGACTGAATATTTGCTTGTACATTTGAACATTTCATTCACATTTAGACTCAAATTTAATTGGAAACGACTGTGGTGAATTGGAAAGCAATGTGCTGTGTTTTTGTTACAGGGCACACTGCAGCAGTTTGTGGATGATTTCTTCCGCAGTGTGTTGTGTCCCGGGACTGTGGTTCCACCTGCAGTCAAGTATTTCTTTGACTTCTTGGATGAACAAGCTCTAAAACATGACAATGTTGATGAGGAGACCATCCACATCTGGAAGACCAACAGGTATGAAACACTCTTAAAACTGTATAACACTAAACAGTCCTGGACATTCCCTGCTTAAAGGGATTATTCACTAAAAATGAGAAATTCTGTCATCATTTACTCTCATGTCATGTCACTCCAAACTGTTAACTTTCTTTCTTCAGGAGTTTCATTGACTTAAACAATGAGACCTTTTTTTTTTCAAAATGTAGGCCCTATGTATTCTTAAATAATTCATGGTAAATTAACATATATTATTATATTAAATTAAACATTGTATTTAAAATATATATGTTTTAATATACCGTATAAATAATGTATTTTATAATAACAATTGTAAATTCCCTTCCTTATATTATATTATATTACATTATATTATGCTATGTTATATATTTAAATGTATTTTTTTATTTGTATTGTAAATTCAGTGAACATTATGCTGGCTGTGAGGTCTTGCGATTTAAAAATTAACTTTCACATTTATTTAAAAGCACACTGCCTAACTTTTGGGGTAAATTACAGTACATATCCATTTATAGCTAGGCACTTGTTCACATACAACTAACCACGAAATTCCAGTTCTCACAAGAACAAACAATCCTAAGAGATTTGAAAACTCTGCAGGGAAATGATCCAAACCCTTTTTAACTTGGCAGATTAAATTATCTGGGCTTTGTTAAGCCTTGATAAAAAAATTCACAGTGTGTCTTGTTGGATGAGCAGAGAGATTGACAGGTTAGGTCTGCATCAGCGTCCCCGAAGTACTCTTTTCTCTGTTGCTCCCCCTCTCTCATCCACTGCCATCAGCAGCTCATTAAATTAGCCTTCTCATTATTGTTTTGCTGAAGAACAGTGACTGCTGGGTAAGTCACGAACAGGGTTTTGATTTATTTTCAAGGGTTTTTTCTAAGTCAAGGCCAATGGGACTCTGGTATTGACTCAGTATGGATTGCCCAGTGCCTCTGGGACGCTGTTAGAATAAAATCTCATTCCAAAAACTCTGAGATACAGTAACTTTTTTCTAACAAATGATGGTCTTTAATTGAATGAGGAGGTGCGGATGCAGGCACTAGATCAAGGGATTAAAAACAGCTCTGGAGGAATGAAGATAAAGCTATTACAATCCTTTAAACAAAAAAACAATGCCTTAGATAGAATAAAATGGCATTTCTATTCAGTAGAGGGTTTGTTGTGGTTGTCTTCATTAAGCTAGATTGATTGGTACTCCAAGCTTAATTTGACAGGTAGACTTTAGATGAAAACCTTGGTTTGTCATCTTGGTTTTTTTTTTTTTTTTTTTACCAGCAAATCTGGGTAATTTTTTATATTAATATTGTACTTAATTTGTGCCATAAGTATCGAAAACAATGCACGAAAACATATTATTAAAGTCATTTAATAATAATTTATCTTCAAAGAAATTGATGTATCGGCTGTGTGTGTGTATTTCTGCAGTTTGCCTCTACGGTTCTGGGTGAACATTTTGAAAAACCCTCACTTCATGTTTGACGTTCATGTGACGGAAGTGGTAGACGCCTCTCTGTCTGTCATCGCCCAGACCTTCATGGATGCCTGCACCAAGACTGAGCACAAACTTACCCGGGTGAGCAGCAACGTTTGAAGATGTACTTTATCAATCCTATAATGTCATCTTGGCTTTCTGTCTCATGTTCCCTTTCTTGATCTCTCTTTCACAGGAGTCCCCCAGCAACAAACTGCTTTATGCAAAGGAAATCTCCACTTACAAGAAGATGGTTGATGAGTAGGTTTCTATTCTGTTCAACAGTTTGTTCATATGTAATCACAGAAAAATAACCATGTTCTCTTTGCGCTTCAGTTATTACAAAGGCGTCCGGCAGATGGTTCCAGTCAGTGACCAAGACATGAACACGCACCTTGCAGAGATTTCACGTGTACGTTTATTTTATTCTATTTTATTGTCTTTTTTTTATTGTCTTTTATTTTTTTATTATATTTTGACATTTTTATATTTTATATATATTCTTTTTTTTTATTTTTTTATTTTTTTTTATGTAATTTCTATTTAGTTTTATGTTGTATTTTGTCCATTTTATTATTTCATTTAATTTTGTTTTATTTGTATTATTTTATATTTTGTCTTTATAATATATATATATATATATATATATATATATATAATATATTTAGTCATTTTATATTTTAATATAATATATTATTTTTATTATTTCCTATTTTACTTTTTATATTTTGTAATTTATTTTAAAATATATTTTTCCCATTTTTATTTGGACATTTTTTCATTCATTTAATTAAATTTGTATTTATTTTGTGTAATTTTAGATTTAATTTAATTTTAAAATAACAGATTTGACTCTTTATCTTTCTCCAGTCTCACACAGATAAGTTAAACACCCAGGTTGCATTGCACCAACTTTACCAGTATGCCAGCAAGTACTACGACGGGGTAGGTGTTATTACACATTGAGGCGATGGTCCTTTCCATACCGACTCGCATCCTCTGCTACACAAATTTCTTGCTTGAGATCAATGAGTAAAACCACACAAATATCTGATTCTTTCTTGGCATGCCTTCCGTAGATTATCTCGTCGCTGGAGGAGGACCCTGCCGCCCAGAGCAAACAGCTGACCCTCAGACTGCAGCAGATCGCCGCTGCGTTGGAGAATAAAGTGACCGACCTTTAATGTCGGGAGCCCAGACTTGAGATAGGAGATGGAAGTGCCACTAAATCCAAGACGCAGCTCAATTTAATGGGCTCAAATATAAGAACATCCCTTCTGGAGGACTCTGGTTGATGGGAGCCTCTGCTCCGGCGAGTGAAAGATAAAGTGAGGTGGAACACAGACTATTTGCGGACCCTTCCTTTCCTCAAGGCTTTCAGCTTTGCTCATGATTCAGCGCGACCAATATAAACTGTGAGCTGAGGGGAACATCACAAATGTCGCTGAAATTGAAAACTCACTATGGTACTTCTCGGATCAGCACCTGCACAATGAAAGTCCAGCATTTTTGTTTTGTTTTTTTGTTCTGCTATGCCAATAATCAGATGTTCGGTATATTCTTCCTGTGTAGATGAAATAAAATAGTATTATATGTAAATATATTTTTACACTTAAGGCAGCGAGAGAGAGGCTTTAGACAAAACAAATTGATGATTGTTTTTGTGGAAGAGCACCGTTTTGTTTTCCTGTGTATTTTAAGTGCCACTTTCATTTCTGTGCAGTGATTGTCACATCCTGTGGGTTCTTTGACGCCATTGGCTCACGGTTCTGTTTGTGGTAGCACTATCGATTTGTATTGGTGTCCGTGATGCTGATGTCCGAGCCAGTGCTTCTTTTGTCCCTCCCAGTAACTTTTTATTGTATTTTACCGGTTATTGCGTACGATAATGTCATTGAGTCAATTTCCAATTTAGGCAGTGTTCAAAAGAACAGAGGCCATTATTGCAGAGTGACTGTCCAAGTCTCAAAAACACAGCAAGCGCATTTGATCCACGACATGCAGACACTCAGAACAAAGGCCAAGGAAGCTTTAATCTCCCGTCCCTTTGGTGTCTGATCCAGCAGTTGCATTTTTATGTTTTGTACCATCTTTGCTTTTATATATGTGCACTTCGACACATGGCTTGCCTTATTTTATGACACAATTATGATTTTTGTATTTTAAATCAACAATACAAGACCGATTCAATCAAGGAGGTTTACATTGCTGGTTGCCTTTCTTAAAAAGAAGTGCAACACACGAATAGTAAAGAATTGTCTTTGAATATGATAACGAAATGCGAACGAACGTGACTTTCTTAGCATTTGCCTTAACAGCAATAGTTTGGACTGAGCGACTCATATGCCAATTAGATCATGATATCATAGAATGAATTGAATTCAGTTTATTGGTACTGTTTTATTTTGGAAAAAAACTTTTTCTTTTAAAATAATGTATACATTTTTTTTTATTTAGAGCTTACCAAAGTTTAATTTTTTTTTCGCAGCTGTCCGCAACCATCTGTTGTTTTATATGTATCAAATTATTTTGTTTAAAGTGTGATTTAATTGATAAAAAAAATATAGATATATATAGATATATAAAATGGTAAGGCAGCTGATGGTAATCTTAATCTGTCGTCAAACTGAATTTTTTGGGGGTAATTTGCGAATGGTACGATTTTCCTACCTGTATGTTCTGACTCAATTGTGCCAAACACTGCACACTCTTAATGACAAAATAATAATGTGGACTGTATTGTTTAGTCACGAACTGCAGCCAATCAGAGGCTGGCACCGGCCATTCTGAGCATGATGGACACAACAGGAAATGCCTTTGAACTGTAAATATAGCCAGACTGCCAAGATTTCATATTCTTTTCTCCTTTTTCTCGCTCCTCCTGCCAGTTCTCCTGTGTTGTCTAGCTACCGTGTCAATGGCTTATTGTAAAGCTTCTTGTTTGCCTTTCTTTACCAGGTAGTGCCTTACAAATACGAGTAATAATGATCAGTTGTGTGGTGATTGTGTCTGCATTAAAAATTGCAATAGGGACCTTAGTTATGTTTCTCTGTTTTTGTACAATAACTGTTCGCTACCTCTTTAAATGTGCATGTTGGCCTGTTAAATTGTGTTATACACTAATATTTTCTAATATATCCCTGGCCTGAAATCTGAACGCTAGAACCAAACCAAGAGATACTTGCAAGTATCCTGATGAGGATCCTGCAAATATATATATACATCTTTATAGATGACGTCAGAGATGATCAGTCAACTTAAACAGTCGTTTTATTGTTATGGTTGGTAAAAACCCATTAATACTAACTAGTAATGAATAGTCCTTATTAAATCAGCAGTTTGTTTAGTGGTCCACGCACTAATAAATGTTTGCTTTCAAGCAATATAGACAGCTGATGGGTCCTTTACAACAATCAAGACCAAATTTAGAGGCATTAAGATCAATGAGTCAAGTCCAAAAGTGCATTTTAAACCATCTTCTGTCTAGAGACCGATACTAAAGGGAAAAAGATTGTACAGGTAGCTCTGATGTATGTAGATTAGAAGGCCATCACATTAAACTTACTGCAGATGGGAGTGACTGTAAATGGTTTGTACTGTATTATGTCAAGCCATTACTGTCAGTGTTAATGTGTTGGATGTGCTTTCCAGGAAATGAATGCACCCCAGTCTGAAATAAATTACAGCATGAATATATTATTTAATTTCACACCGGTGATGTTTTTGTGAACTAAAACTGGTTAAAATGTTTTTGTTAATTCAAATAAAGCTGAAATAAAATGAAAAGCTAATTTAAAAAAAATGTTCCCTTGGCGATAAGTACGCATTACATTTACTGAAATAAAGCTAATTGTAAACTATTTAGAAATATACATTTTAATATTATGTCAAAAGTGCAGAAACTACAAAAATGTAAAAAACAAAAACAAAAAAAACCCATAAAGCTTAGAGACTATTACAATGAAAAGTGAAAAAAAATTCTAATTCAAAATATCAATAGGAACTATAATAATATAGAAATTATACTCAAATAACGCTGTTATGCAGGAACACAAGTGCTGATGACTCCACTCAGTACAACAGCACTCTTGCTTGCGCATTTTTTATTTTTCTACCAACAAAAATAGGTTTTTTTTTTTTACTTGTCCTAAAGCCAGGCTGGAAAAGACGTATGTCAGTGCAGCGGAAAAGGGGAGCGGTTTTAAATGTTTGTCCGTGCACTGGATCTACACGGGAAAACAGCAATTAAAGTAAAAAAGAAGAAGAGGAGGTAAATATAGGATTGCATAACCCCCTCTCTCTCTCGCGCGCTCATTCTAGCTCCCTCCACACCGTTAACTTCATTGGTTTATTTTTAAGTAGACATTAATTGTTGTTTTCTCTGAATGGTCCTGCCTGAAGGCCTGAGAGCTTTCAGAGTAAACTAGGACACGGATCACTTCTGGTCCCAGGCGTGAGTGAAACATGAACATGTGTCAGTAACTCCAACATAAAGACGAGGCTGTGACGCCATTTACGGCAGGACAACAAGCTAAAGGACATTGAATTAGATGTGTTGTGTGCTGAAGTTGGTTGTTCTCTTTCATCTCCGGCTATTTGCAGACTCTTTCCTCCTCAGGTTCTGACACTTGAACCTTTTTTCTTCGTTTTGTTGGATTTATTTAGAATTGCGGTGTTCTGTTACAGGAGGGCAAATACCACATTTGTTTACTTAATTAGCTAGAAACACTTAATGTTAATATACTGCCCTCTGCTGCCTAAATGATTCCCTACTACACCCGTAAGGAGAGGAAAATCTTAATTATGTTCCTGTGATCTCAATGTCCTGTGATGAGAGAGTGCAAAAAACTGCCTTCCTTTCTGTGACTAAGAATAACGGTGACTAGTCTAAGGTCTAAATGGAGTTGTAAACTGGCCTGATGACTCTAAACCATTAAGCATTCTCAGGAAGTTTTAATCTACATAAGTGGAAGGAAGGCACATGGTGAAAGGAAATGTTATGAAAAAGGCCAAGTGTATGACTCATTACCGGCTGAATACAGAGAGAGAAAATAACTATATAAGCCAGAATTTATCAGGATGAAGACAACTTGATAGATCTAATATTTTGCATATTTAATGAATAATTCATCTGCTTCCCAAGTTTAAAAGCTTCCCAATTCTGCTTTTTAACACTCCAGTGCATTATAAGTGCATATGTACCTGTTTTTTCTTGAAGTCTTAGGATGGATTGAATCACTAGTGTCTGTCCACACTCTCTCTTCCCAAGTAAGGAAACGGATAATGTGCAGTGCACTGTGATGTAGTCTTTAATCTTTTCTGATGCTCTAGTCTAGAGTCTAGATTGTATCACTGGTCAGAACTTTTTATCACCTGAGGGTCTTGTTTCTTCTCTTTGTTCTGTGTTGTACACGACTCAGAGACCCATTTCAACCCAAGGCAGCATGTATAATTAGTCTATGTCCTCACCTGCCTGCTAAAAGGACAGGGAACATGGATACGGAGACATTTATGGTGTGTAGTTGTGGCGTATGCTGCTCCTAATAAGATACAATTCATATGTCATTCTGTCATTTTCTCAGGCAGGATACTTCTGTAGTGACGTCACCTTTGATTGCTTTTAGTGTGTGTGTGTTGTATGTGTGTGTGTGTGTGTGTGTTTGTTTGTTATTAGCGTATTCCCCAATTGTGTTCATTTGTGGTTCTCAACCCCCCACCCACTTTAATCACTTTTGCTTCACAGTATGAAGAGTGGAAGAAAATCCTCAGGATAAACCAATACAAACATTTTCTTCTAACAATTGTTGGAGGGATGAATTGATTATGTCCATGTCAGAAAATGTCAAAGACCGAGTGAGATTTTACTTTGGACACTATATATACACACGTATAAATACACACACACACATAATCGTCTTAAAATACTTTAAAATAAACTATTAAATGCTATAATTGAATGTATGTTATGCATTATAAATTAACTTTTTTTTAAATATATTAGAATTTTTAGACAATGTTACACCAGTAAAAGTTTGCTATGGCCTCCTTGATTTAGAGCCACTGTTCTAAAGAGAATGTGAATTTGCACACATCGCATTTTAATTCTTTTAATTAGCTTTGGCTTTCCAACAGTGTTATCAGCCCTCTTCCCAACACATGCACACAATCTCTGTTACCTGGGCAACCCTGCCAGGGTGGAGGAATACCTCTCTCCACCCTCCTCCCTTCTCTCTCTCTCTCTCTCTCTCTCTCTCTCTCTCTCTCTCTCTCTCTCTCTCTCTCTCTCTCTCTCTCTCTCTCTCTCTCTCTCTCTCTCTCTCTCTCTCTCTCTCTCTCTCTCATTCCCTTTCTCCCCCCTGTACAAGCGTCCTACCTCTCTCTGAGAGACTCAAGGGAAGTATATCAGCTCAGACACATTCAGACTGCACT